CCGCATAGCTGACCACAGACCGACCTATCGCGTTATAAGAGGTCAACAAGGTTTCCTTGTCCGTACCCCAAGTGCTGCCGGCTAGCGCCTTGAGGACCTTGTTCCTACTTTAAATAGTTCCGGACAAAATACTTTGTACATGCTTTTGAGTGCGGTTGAGACGCTGGGAAAATCTATCAATAAAGAATAAATATTTTAATATTACATATTTCCCAGCGCCATAAAATACAATATGTGAACAATTCGGTGATCTTGTGCGCTAACGCATACGATAATGTGTGATATAATGAAGGTTATGAGGCACACGCACAGACATTCATGCGCTCAGTAAATGTACAAGACCACTTGAATGAAATGTCAAGCAGCCCTGCAATGTTCTCCATTCAATATTAGAATAAATAAGAATAATTGTGTTGCTGCGATTAGGTTAAGTTAGATTAGTTTTTGTAGCACTTAAGAAACATATTTTTGAAATTGAATTGAACTACATCAGAATTGAAACTACGTTCAAAGAATAAGGTTGTTCTTTCTTTTCTCATAGAATTGACAATCGAAGTGGGAGATTGGATTCTATTCTCAAAACATTGGTCCTTCGAGCTGGATCAAAAATTGAATCAACAGCCAAAACATTTGGTTGGTTTTCTTTTCACGCTTTCATTGGTCAATCGAGCCTTCGCTTTTGTCAAAGTGAAACGAATTAGCGACCACAAAACGAAAATAATAGTTTTCCCCTACCAGTGGTAAGAGACTCACTACAAATAGAAGTAGCTATTCTTTAAAAAAGAGGAGAACTGCCACCAAAAGAAGTCCGCTGAGACATTTTAAATGTAAGACGGTAGGGTATTTTAAGAAATTGTCGAAGGGACAAAATTGACTGAAAAAGCCATAGTGCAAAAATAAACAAGTAAGCAAAAGCTATAGTCGTGCGGTGCCGACTATGTGATACCCTACAACACTACAATATGTTAACAGCCCCCTTGTTCCATGTTCAAATTCATTTGAAGGATTTCGCTTTTGAACTTATGTCATGTCTCACTGCCCAGTTATTACCCTTAGCAATTTGACCAGGGACATTTGCCCAATATTTACGCACTTCGTCGTGCTGTTAGTTCTTGTGGTCCATTTTACAGCTAAATTTAATCCAATGGTGAACCAGGAGTGTCGATTAACTTCAATTGTGTGATCAGGATTTTTTTTCCGTTTTTGGTTCATTTGAACCCCTAACTATTTTGCGATCATCGCCAAAAGCATAAGGCCCCTCTGTATCTCCAAATTTAGACTCGTCTATATGATTTGCTTGTCTACGATATTTGTATGGTATTTTTTCACACAAAAGTAGTGGTCCATTCTACCCGCTGTATCCTTTGGATTCTATTTGTGATCTTTATAACAGCTACAAAATCAGCAACATTTTTAGTTGATTGGTCCATTTCAACCCCTAAATATGTTGCGGACATCCTTTAAAACAATAAGCCTAACATTTCTGAACCTAACCTACCCTTTTTTCGTGAGGATAATTGCAATCTGTATATAATAACCCCAACTTGTGTTGTATAATGAAAAAATATTACAAAATGTATTCTTCAATATTATAAGTCAAAATGAATGAATCGCATGCGATAAAAATTATGAAAAAATAAAAAAATTCACAAAATACTACAAAATCTTTATTTACATCATTATTGACATCTTTTTATGCGATTTTTTTTTAGATTTTATTCTTTTATGCCAAGAGGGCATTCCGAATTGACAAAATTTGTCAAAATAGAGCCAGCCATTCTTGAGATATAAGCATTCTAGCTAAAATCCCCTTCCTTTGTATATACACATTGTATATATTTCGCAATATGTATCCGATATATTTACTATCGCGATCTATATAATGCTCAGAATCGACCGGTTCGTCTATTTGTGATTTCGCTGAGATCAAAAATATTCGCGGTTTAATGAAAAATTTGACTTTTATTTAACAGAAATGTTATGGTCTGTATCACCCACTAAATATTACCCGATGACCGCAAAATTGGGAGGCTTCTGCCCTGCCCTAAGCTCTAGCCCCATGCTAACTTCCGCGTTGATTGGTCTATAACTGCGACCTGTAGGGCAACTGCAAAATCAGGATTTTTTCAGTTTTTGGTCCATTTCAACCCCTAAATATTATGCGATCATCTCCAAAAGCGTTCTATTCTGGCTATAGCCCCACCTCCATTCTAAATTTCGTGAAGATTGGGCCATAATTGCGACCTGTAGAGTGATTACAAATTAACATGGACAGACGGACGGACGGACATACATAGCTAGATCGACTTAGCTCGGCGAGATAGGGATATCTATATATACTTTCCTATGTGGGAAATCAACATTTCGAGGCGTTACATAATTTTTGGCCAATCAAACTTATAATACCCCAACACATAGTGTTGTAGGGTATAAAAAGTCATAGAGGCAGAATTTAAAAATATATACATATTACAAAAAAGACCCAAAGGGCAAATATTACAAAACACGTCATTGGGGCAAAACCAGTCACAAAGAAAAATATACAATTTTGAAAAGAAGACATCAAAAGTCCCAATTAAAATAAGAAATAAATTAAAAAAAAAAGCCAAGGCAACATCAAAAAAAGGGACTAAATATACAAAAAAAAAAAAAAAAAAAAAAACAAAACAACAAAGAAATATAAAAAATCAAAAGCTGAAACAAACAAGTTAAAAAGTAGTTGAATACCCTCCACTATTTGGAACGAATTTGTCAAAATTAAATTGTCAAAATAGCGAATATAGGGAGGAACTCATATATGGGGCTTGTACGAAGACCTGTATACGCAATTTTCTGTCACAGACTGTAGTTCCCATTACGAACTCTAAGCACGTTATTCGAAACTATTCCGGTGAATAATGACGCTAAAATCATCAAAATACCGAATATTTGGAGGTACCGTTACGCTATACGAAGACGTGAACCTGCGCAGATAATTTTCTGTCACAGGCTGTAGTATTCATTACGAACTTCAAATACCAAATTTGAAACGATTCCAGTGAATAATGTCGCTAAAATCATAAAAATACCGAATATAGGGAGGTACAGTTATATGGGGCTATACGAAGACGTGGACCTCCACAGACAATTTTCTGTCACAGGCTGTAGTATCCATTACGAACTCTAAGCACGTAATTCGAAACTATTCCGGTGAATAATGACCGTGACATCAAAATACCGAATATTTGGAGGTACCGTTACGCTATACGAAGACGTGAACCTGCGCAGATAATTTTCTGTCACAGGCTGTAGTATCCATTATGAACGGCAAATACCAAATTTGGAACAATTCCGGTGAATAATGTCGCTAAAATCATAAAAATACCGAATATAGGGAGGTACAGTTATATGGGGCTATACGAAGACGTGGACCTTTTACGAACATAACCTTCCTTTTGGCAAAATAAACATGTGTGCAAAATGTTAGCCATCTATCTCAATTCGTTCGAAAGATATCGTGATTATAACAGACGGACAGACAATTAGACTGACATCACTAAATCTACTTAGAATTTTACGCTGATCAAGTATATATATTCTTTGTTGGGTCTGACATGAGAATTTCGAGGAGTTAAAAACGGAATGACAAAGTTAATGTACCCTCCATAGTATGATGGAGGGTATAAAAATGGAAAAGGAGTTCCAAAATCAAAAGCTCCAAGATGAGGAGCGAGACAATACATACAACAGCGTCGGAGATATTGAGCTGCTGCAACAGTTTCGGGCGTTCCAGGAGATGATGCTGCAGCAGGAGCATATGAAATCGATGATGGAACTAATGAAGCAGATGTTCCTATTGCTACAACGCAACAAAAGACTCCATGCTTAGAAGGAAATATTATGAAGTGTTTCCCGTCGGCAAGTCCTCAATTTGAGGAACGGTATGAAGGAGGAAATTCCGAGGTCGAATCCGCCCTGGCTAATGCAGAACGAATAGATTCACGCAAAAAAGACCACAACTTGTTCGACGGATACGGGGAAGATTAGTACGACCACGTTTCTAGAAGAAAAGAATTCATCGAAGAAGTTAGAAAAGCCGAAGAAATTTCTCTGGTTATAAAAGGGTATTATCAGAGAGGAATCAAGAGTAATCCAACAATGGCCGTGAGAATAGAAGACGACAAGCCAAGCTAACAATAAGGCCAATAGCAATAATTTGCTACGTGGGTGATGACGGTCTGCAGCGGTGGACTACTAATTCAGTAGTATGGATAACGAAGCGAGCAGATAAAGGTGGTGGTATCGGCAAGTCGGAGTCGTTTCCTAAAGGAAATCTAATAATCTATATATAGATTATATGTTATATTTTAATATTTAAATGTTTCATATTATTCATTTTTCAATTTTGGCTAGGGGGGCTAGCAACAGGTTGTGGGTGGCTAGCAACTGGTTGAGAACTTTCGTTAGGTGCTCGACTCTCGGCATATCCAGCTGTTTCAGCTTTACCATTGAGATTCCGTCTGGGTCCAAGGCTTTGGATGACTTAGCATTCTGGATGACATTTGCAACATCACCCATCATAAACTGTGGTGGTTCTTCCTCGTCGGGAAGAGATCTGATACGACGTAGAACTATTCGCTTCGCCCTGTCGCTCTCGGGGTGCTCGACATATTGTTGGTTAAAATACTCAGTGCACCTTTTCGGATCAGTCACCGTTATGTCGTTAAAAGTGACTGAGGTTCTATTACCCTTTTTCCAGGGTTCGAGAGAGACTTAACCGTTAACCACAGCTTACTCATATCGGGTCCAATGCTGCAACACTTCAGATGGTCTAGCCACTTTTTCCTCTTATGCTCCTGTACCAACCGGTTGACTTCCACTGTCAAATCACCGATACTGGCTTCAGTAGTGTTGGTACGACGGAGATCATCACGCTCGTTTATTAACCCCGCTGCCTCTGCTGGGAAGTTTAGTCTTATCTCGGGTATTCGACTAGCAGGTATATAGCGAGTGGCTGCAGCTTTGATGATGTTTCGGAAAATCCTTTCTGCTACCCAACCATTATGATCATCTCTGGTCATTTCCTAGGACGGAATGCTACAACTCATGGTGGGCATTGAAATTCCCTAGTAGCAGGCAGTTATTGCCTACCAACAATGGGCTAATATCTGGAAAATACCGAGGTTCACACCTATTAATCGTTGTAACCATAACAACGTTGTAGGCTGTAATTTTCATTCAGCTTGGTTTCCTGCACCGCTGAGATCTATGGTGGATGACGTTCTGACAACCCGAGCAGAACAAAGGTCCGGGAGTTTCCTCAATTCCGGCACGGACCAATAAAATCCGGGAATATGGGACAAAATATGAGATATTTTGAGTAATTTTTTTTGATTGCTTGCGTATTTGCAAAACAAAATATGTTGCTGGTAAAGTTTTTTTTTTTTTTGAGTGGGGTGTGTGAGTTTTGGAATGCATTTTCCATTGCCAATGCTCTGGCCACTTCAATATTCAACACAAGACTGGTAATAGCTTGAAATGAGGAACTTCGCGGTTCCAGAATTCCGACATTTTCCACTTTTGCCACGGTAATTTTATAACATTTTTGAAATAGACCACCATTGAAAGCAATATTTTTCATTTATTTTAAGTGGAGGCACATCAACTCCTGTGAACAAGGAGGTCAATTTTCACGAAGACTTTTGGCAACAAGAGATTGTGGATTTGCACGCATCTCAAAAAAAAAAATTCAATGGAAATTGCTAAAAGATGCTGGTACGCAAACTGAGTAAGAAATTACAAGTAAATTTTCATATAAACTTTTACATAAATTTTTAACTTTTGCTTTAGCCCGGTACTTTTTTCAGGGGAAATGGATACATTTAAAGAACCGCTTAAAATGTTTGGTTTTTATACAAAGAAAAAGTGACCACGCCTACTTTTACGCCAATTTTTTTCGATTTACCTAAAATCCTAATATTTGCCAAATTTAATAAATATTTGTTCCATAGTTAGTATATGACGTACTCTTGACTCTCCCTCCAACCCTAGGTATCTGGGGTCAGAGGAACTGGCCACACATACTTCTTTAAATTTATATGTATATAATTTAACAAAATATAGTAACACATCAGTTGAGAACTGCTTGGCCGAATTGACTCAAATTTTCTTTTGGTTATTTGTAATTATAGTGGAAACGTTTTCATGAATGAAAATTTTGAGAAAAGCATCTAGAAAAGAGCGAAAGTGAAAAACTTTAATGTTCTATTTTGATAAGGAATTTCCTATAGAATTGTTTTAGAATGCCTTTTAAAATTGAAAATTCTTATTGGAAAAAATCGAGAAATTTTGGATATATTCTATACCTATATCTATATTAAAAATACTTCTCAAAGCATCAAAACATTTAAAATCCCAACGTACTTTTAAATTGGGGCTATACATAATGGGGAACAATAGTAAATTAAATAGTAAACAGTTATTGCAGGTATTGTTTTCACAATACTGAAAACTTTAAATGTCAAATTAAAGTTCATTCGCTAGAAATTATAGCAAAAACATACAAAAGGATAGCGGTATTATTATACTTAAATGAAACGTATATATTCTAACTTCCTAGGAATATTGTATAAATGTTTAAAGATTAACCTAAATATTTAGCTTTCTTGCGATTTTAACGAACGGCCACATACACAGATTGATATAGACTAATTGACATAGGATTTTGCACAAACATAGTTTTCTAAAAGTTACGAATTTAAACTTACTTTTGATTTGGAAAATATTGCTAAAACCTTTATAATACTGACAATTGAGGTTTGAAAATTTAATTAAAAACGATGATATCTATATACATATAAATGGAAACTAATTTCAAAATAATAGTACGTTCTATTGGCAAACTTCGTAAGGACATTTGCTGTAAAACACCAACGACCCAGTTGAAGATTTTTTTCCATTTGTTTTTCTTTTCTGTAAATTTTATATTATAAAAGAAAGTTTTATTAGTTAATAAGCTTATAATTCTAGAACGGAGGCCTGATTTTAATAATTCACACCGTTTCGGAATGACTTCCTGAAAACAATAAATAAAAAAAAAATCATAAAAATATCCTAAATTTTTTTTTTAAATTTTTCGAAATTTTTGCAGCGCATGTATTTTTTCTATTCGACACGTTTTATTGAAGTTTACCTTTGTTTTTGGTTTTTTTGTGGTTTGAATTCTGTATGTGAAATGAAGAATATTAAATAAGTGCACAATACGATCTTTCCTGACTGGAATTGGCATCTAGCTTTCCAACCACAGGTCCTACATCGTACTTCAGGTGGAAGATGGAAACACAATGAGAACTCATAATAAAATATTCATTGGTTATGAAATACCAAATACAAAGAGGCATCACAATGTGCGGACTATGCAAAATGGTAGAGCGAAGTTAAAATTTAGTCCTCCAAAAATCTTCCGAAATATTTTATATACTTAAATCGCAAATACCATTTTATGCATTAGCGAGTAACGAAATTGGGCAACAGCCTGCTAGGATGGAAAATTCTTAGTGGATTGTATTCGGTTAATAGATCAAAATTCCAAAATAGGTTTTGGGTTACCAGGCTAAACTTTTTATGGTCCGTTATATATAGCCTTAACCATGCACAAAAGGCCTCAAATATTTTGCTCTATACTTGGCAAAATTTACGATAGATTTTTAGATTTGATACAATCAAATGGGTTACATGTAGGTCTACGTTTTGATTTTGCCAACATATGAGGATGTATCCCGCTTTCAAGTATTTTTTTTTATATTTTTCGAACTTATATCGACAAAATTTGGTAACTTGAAAATTTAGAAAGAAGAAAATATCCTTTCAAAAATTATAAGTATGGGCCCACGGCATAACCCTCATATAAGGGTATCCCTGATTTTTGTCATATTTTTAAATTGATAGCCCCATATTTGGCATTTTGTCTTCTAAGGGGATAGAAAACCTCTTCGCAATGTAGGTCAATGTTTCTGGGATTTGGCTAAAGAGTAAAGTGTAGATATATATTTTGGTGAAGCCAAAACAGTATCTCCCAGGTCCGCCGATGTATAGAGATTTTAACAGATTGGCGGACAGACAGACGGATATTGTTTGTTACTCCATTTTACTATGATCAAAAAACAGCCTCTAACCCACAAATTATAAACGGTTTTATATATACAGCTGTGCTTTTTATTTGGTTTCTTACTCTAAAAGTGCAACCTATGGCTGGAAAATAGGATTAGGTTTTTAACGAATCCAATGAATCTATTTATATCTATCTACGATGACAATTAGCAGTTGAACATTTGTAAGACCATGCCGCGACTTTGTAAGACCATGCCGCGTACAAAAAATGATATAACACTAGAAATCTTTGATTTCGACGATCAAAATAAACAATTTATGGGCAGAAAGAAGACTGCCATAAAAAATTATGCGGCCATGAAGGTAGTTTAGAAAGACAATTAAAAACTGCACACCCTAATATTTATTAAACTACACACAAATGGAAAATGAACAGTCAGTTAATAAAAATGCATTAAAAAATTTATGCATAATTGATAAGAATGGTGTGGACAATGCTATAGTGGAGTTGTTTACTAAAATTGGCAGACCACTTCGCACTTGAAGCTTACCTTAAAACTTGTGATAGACCTTCCTGCAGTGAGCCACTCATAAAAATATTGAGCGTGACCTCCTAATTTATGAAAGACAGCACAGATTAGCAGTAAATGGAAATATTATAGACTACTGGACAAAAGAAAGCAATTCCCTAACGACAATTGCATTCATTCCATGTACACAAGTAAGCGTGGAGAGATTGTTTTCGTCTAACACGAACAAACTTGGAGCATATTTTATTAACAAGAGTAAATGGAGCATTTGAATATGAAGGCAAATTATTTTTTTAACCATTTTTATAATATTATTTTATTAAAACCTTTTCAAATATGAATATAAAAACATGAATTCATCTTAATATTACTTTCTATAAACTTAAACACCTTGCTACATGATTTCTATGCGTTAAGAGTTAAAAATTAGTGGCCATTTGATTGAAAAACATTGCATATATCGATTAAGTTGCAGCCATGTTATTAAAAATGCGTTAAGGTGGTTCAAAACACCTAAACAGAATGGTACCAGTCATTTTTGCATTCCCATTCAGAAATTTCTACCGATCCGGTGAAGGAAACCTCAAACTACAAAAAACTGATAGACTGACTTCAGCTGAAAGCCAATATTTTCTTAAGCAAAAAAAAAAAAACTTATATGGTTTAGACGATTCAATAAAATGTTCTTAAAAAATAAACATTAACCAATTCAATTCAAGTTTATTGAGTCTGTTTTGTTTAACACGATAATTTACAATTACAAGCATATTTTCAGCATCTGGCTAGCAGCGCGGACTGGGTCAGCTAGTAATATAATCAAATCACTATATAATCAAAGGAATAAAAAAACCACAGTTTTTGATCCTAAAAATTATAAGTCTTATGTATGTAAATATGGTATAATTATTACAGGTAACAGCAAGTCCCAGCTGATATGACTCTATAGTAATACTAGCATGGTAGAAGAATACAGGTAGTCGCATCGACACAGCTGCTGGGACAATGAACTGTCAAACCAATTTTGGAATGGAAAATGTTGACTGAAAAATTATTTAAATTTGTAAAAACTGTAGAAAAATACATTTCATTGCAACCTCCGATTTACATCGTATAAGAAAACATATAAAATTAGACTTATTTTTGACAAGACACTTAAAAAATTTTGATGTATGTATGCTGTTTGGTTTCAATTTGAAAGGGGTGTTGCCTTTTCCGCGATTTTTTAGCGATTGCTTGAAGTGTTGAGAGATTAGGACCAACAGCTAACAACTATACATTCATGGCAATGATGTAAAAGCATTAAAAATTAAATATTTTAAGAAATAGTCTTCTGCATTTCAATTTAATAATCCAAATTCCAAAAGTGTATATTTTTGAAATTAAAATAATTTATTGAAAATTAATTATTTTGTTTACATTTTTGGACACATAATTCTGACATGTATTACTTACAAAAACAAATTTGTATGTGGTTGTTGTTGCGATTGTTGTACAACAACACTTGCTGTTACCTGTATTATTCTATCATGGTATGTAAAATGACAATTTTAACATATAGAAAAACGAATCAATAATAAAAGTGATATGCAACCCTTCATTAGAGCGTTTGAGTATGAAGTAGATGGTACAAAAAGGAGGTAGAAAAGCTTCGTAAAGGCACAGAAATATGCCCAAATTATATGTAAAGCTATTATCATTTATTTGGAATTTTTCCTCATTTTTATGATGAGTTTAATATCGCGAAAAATGAAAAAATGCTTCGATTTTCTTTTAAAAAATATGATCCAATCTGTTTAATCTTTAAATTCCATGGCAAAACTTGTAAATATCTTCAATGCCCGCCCACAATGTAACTATCTTCTAATGAATGATTTTGAAAATATTTTGCCCCCGCATAATTTTGTATTGTACCATGCATGGCAAAACAATTAAGGTAAACTTAAAATCTATTTTCATATCTAAAATATTTCAGTATGACGATTGGCAGACTTTACAAAAATATAAAAGTATTGCGTTCCTTGGCACGTAAAAACAGTTTTACATTATATATTTCAGAAATAGCAAATTTATTTATCTGTTCTTGGACTTAAAATAGAGATATAAACATTTCAAACCCTTTACCCTAAGGAAACGTTTACGGTGATGTTAGTTCTTGTCCATGGCAGAAGAATACAGGTAGATGCATCAACGCTTGGGAGCATTGATATGTCAAAAATTTTAAATATTTTTTTAAATATAAGTAGATTTTTATATGTACCATAGATGGATCCAACATTTGGAAGTTTTGTGTTAACGATAATTAATTTTGCGAATAATGAATGAGAAGCTTGGATTTTCTTTCAAAATGATATTCCAAACAGTCCAATTTTTCAATTGCAAGGAAAAACTGGATAGCATCTTCAATGCGCGCCAGTCATGCAATCATATGTTTACAATTTTTTCAACATTTTTCATTTGACGTGTGGTGTAGGGTACCAGGAATAACAACATTTTTGGCGCTTGTAGACGGGAAGTACAATTATATTTCAATTTTCGTTATTGTTAAGGAAATCATATCGGTATAGTCTATATATATAGTCTTTTAAATTTTATTTTTGTAATCAAAATACAGGTCGCATTTGTTGTCCGATTGAGATAGCATTTTTAGGAATCACTCCTTCAAATTTATATATATATATATATATATATATATATATATATATATATATATATATATTATATTATTTATTTATTTATTTATATATATGTATATATGACTTGAAACATTAAAAACTTCAAAAATTTTTAAAATTTCATTACATTTTTCTATTTTGAATTTTTACAGCTGTTAAAATATTTCCAGTGGCAGCTCTTTCCTTCAAATTTATTCAAATATATATATATATATATATATATATATATATATATATATATATATGTATATATATATATATATATATATATATATATATATATATATATATATATATATATATATATATATATATATACTGGTGGCCAAAAATAAACAAATCGTAATTATTTTTCCAGTTTTAAATGAGGGGTTTAATTTACTTTTAAGAAACTAAAAATAAAAATACAAAAATAATTTTGAACGAAAAATAATATGTGGAAAACTAAAATGACCCAATTTTTGCTTGGTCAAAACTAAAGCAACTTTTGATTTTTTATTTTAAAATAATTAAATTTTGGCTAGTAGTCGATAGCATCCATTATTTTTGATAGCAGCTGCACACCTACGAGGCATTGAATCTATAACACGCTCAATTTGATCCTTGGGTGTGCTTTCCCAGGCACCCCGAATTCTTTAGAAAATGTTGTGCTTATTTATTTCCGAATCTCGCTTGATCTTCCTATCTACGATACTCCAAAGGTTTTCTATGGAGTTTAGGTCAGGTGATTGTGCCGGCCATAACAAAACATCAATTTTTGACTCCCGCAACCAATATTTGACAAGTTTTGATACAAGTTTGGGATCATTGTCATGCTGAAACACCCAAATCAGCCGAATATTTTACTGTGCGTAAGGGAACAACGTGATGTCCAACACATCTTTGTAAACAAACCGATCCACAACTTCCTTTATTTTATGGATAGGTCCAAGTCCATAGAAAGAAAAACAGCGCCACGCCATTTTTGACCCTCCCTCATGCTTCACTGTACCTTTGTACCAACACTGCGGCTTGAGTCCTTCATTTTTTGGTCTTCTCACCGTAAAATTTTTCACGTCTGAGCCTTTAATATTAAACGTAGACTCATCCTAGAAATAATGTTTTTTCCATTGAGCTTGATTCCACTTAATATTATCGTTTCCGAAAGCCTTTTTGATTTTTTCAGATGTAAATGGTTTTTTGATGTCTTACGGGCATCCAGACCAGCTGCCACTACTCGTCTACGCACTGATCTCGAGCTTATATCCAATGATTGCTCTCTCACCAATCCAGTTGAACTCATAAATAGTTGTTTTTTATTTCTCTTACAATTTGTGGATCAGTACAGGTTGAATTTTTTCACGGCCTTCATCCGTTATAGACTGTTACTACTGATCCAGTTTCAAAAAACCGGCTTAGTATACGGAAATAATTATGAAATCACATAAATATTTATGAAATATTTTTCGGAAATCATTTTCTGTGATATGTTGTTTTGATAGACACTGATAATTTGCTGTTTTATTCAGGTACTGTATTTGCTTCTAGCCATTTTTAAAATTTTTTTGGCAGTACTTAAAAAAACTAAAAGTAAAACACATACTGTTGTAAAAAACTTCTCAAAAAGGATTTATGACAAGCGAAATTATTGAAGGAAGCAAACAGCGATAAATATCACAGTAAAAACAACTGAAATTGCAGCGGTTATATAAATGTACAACAGAGTTGCTTTTGTTTTGTCCAAGCCAAAATCGGGTTAATTGACTTTACCAAACATTATTTTTTATATGAAAATGCATTTTGGTTTTATGTTTTAGGTTTTTAAAAAGTGAATAAAGTACCTAATTTAAAACAAGAAAAACTTTCTTATTTTCTTAATTTTTGAAAAAATTACAGGGCATTCATTCTCCTTGTAATTTCAGTTGCTTTAGTTTTGGCCGCCAGTGTATATATATATATATATATATATATATATATATATATATATATATATATATATATATATATATATATATTATATATATATTTCAATTGAATTTTTACAGCTGTTAAAATTTTTCCAGTGACCGCTCTTTATAATGTACAAAAGCATTTTAGTGAGAATTTTCCAGAAAAAAAGTTATTCGTGATGGAATTCAAATGTGATAGTGTGATTTCTTTATATTCGGCTTGAAAACCAAAAGTGGCAATCGTTAGAGCACTCCTTTAAATGCGAATAAATCTTTTGTGAAAGGAAGTGGACGGAAGAAAACAACATCATCAGTAGAAATTGTTCGAAAAGTAAAGAAGCGACTTGATCGAAACCCGCGTCGCAGTGGCCGAAAAATGGCTCGTGAACTAAACATATCGCAATATTCCATTCTTCAAATATTGAAAAATGAGCACGGGGTAAAGCCATTGTAATTATAAAAAGTTCAAGAACATCGCAACAGAAATAAAATAGGCTCACAAAAGCCAAAGAGTTGCTTCGCTTGACCGAAAGTGATGAACTGCCGAATTTGGTTTTCTCCTATGAGAAAACATTCGTTGTCCAGCAGTTTGTAAACAAACAAAATGATTGTGTTTACTCGCAAAAAAGGTCAGCTTAAAATGTGCTCCTGCGTTTGGCCACCAGAACTCAAGCGCCGGCCAGGGTGATGGCCGCTAGTATTAATCGCCTGTGTCATCAGAATAAATGACGAATATTATCGCGAAAATATTCTGGAGGGTGTATTAAAGCCTTGGGTACGCAAACATTTTGGCCGCAGACCTTGAACATTCCAACAGGACTCAGCAGTGGGACTATACGAATAACATCATTTTAGAAGATAAGTTAAAAACAAAAAACCGGCATTTTACCATGTACGAACGGTATTTTCAATTTGACCAACTTTATTCAATTGATTCAATTTCTAGAAAACTGATGTCGAAATAATTTAACGCGGTCACACCAAACTTAAATGGTAATTACTTTTTTCTAAAATTGGAAAAAAACTCGAAAAATATTGAAAAATGAGCTCGGGGTGAAGCCATTGAAATTCCAAAAAGTGCAAGAATTTACACCGCAACAAAAAGAGTTGCTTCGCTTGGACGAAAGTGGTGAACTGCCGAATCTGGAACCTCGTATTAATAGATCGTGGCATCAGAATAAATGCCGAATAATATTCCGAAAATATTCTAGAGGGTGTATTAAAGCCTTGGGCACGCCAACATTTTGACCGCATACCTTGGACATTCCAACAGGACTCAGCACGAGCCAACCAAGAACAATATAATGAACTGTCACTGGAAAAATTTTAACAGCTTTCGGACGAATGGCTAAGAAATGACAGCAGTCTGAAGTTGAAGTTTTTTCATCTCAAGAGATATGACTTTCTAAAGACAGATGTAAAAATGCATATCCATCTCTGCATTTGCAAATAATTGTCAAATTTCACTGCATAGAAAACTGGATTATATATAATAACTTTTGGATTATATATATTTAAAAAAATAATAGCAACTATAAGACTCCACCAGAATGGAATTTCGAGGTTATTCCACAAGATGGAATCTAAAATAGTAGGATAAATTGATCACAAAATTGTACAATTTTTATCTATTTGGGTCAAAAATTTGCATTTATTTTGCAACCAAATTTGAAATAATTTCAACTCATACACAAAACGTGTAAATCTTTTGACAGAGTAGTAGCTTTGTTCTACCTTCTGTAATTGGGCCATGGTTAGGACTAAAAGGCTTTTAAGAAATTATGGATCCGAAATATTTTCTGATATTTCTCTGTCTCTTGTAATTTTTTCAATATCACTAAATTTGTAATCTCGAGAGTGATTAGAAGCTTTAAATGGTTATCGGGCGGTCAAACATGTTGCGACCATTATTAGACGCAATTTTAGATTTTTTAACATCTGCCCAAATATGCATACATATAGGACAAGCGCGCCTAACTTCGGCATGTCCCAGTAGTTGCCATTTTTTATATTTAAACTCAAATAAATAAGAATTTTTATAACTATATGTAAAAAGATGTTTACATTAGCTTCGTATATCTTCGTGTATTTCGCGAAGAAAAAAAGTTTTATTCTAATTAAATTTACATTTTTGTCTATGAAGGTCCTTCAGCACGAAGAAGACAATGCAAATCTTAAGAACAAAATAGTGGGGACGTCAAATTTAGTAACTACTAGTAACTATGCTAAAATTAACAAATTTTCAACATCAAAGAACTGTCGATAGAGCTCTTTAGACAAAAATATTACTGTGAAATATAGGAAAACATGTGTTGTAAGGTCGGCAGAATTGCATTTGAATTTCAATTATTGAATGTGTCTACGTTATATGTCTTGGGTTTTATTAAATTAAAAAAAAAAAAAAACAACAATTTTATTAAATATATTTTTTACAAAGAATTGATATGCCAACTATAGGAACAAATTCCGCAAATATAATTAATAACTGATTCAAACTCTCTTTATTAGCTATAATTAAATAAATTTAGTCAGAATGGAGGAGGATTAAAGAATCAAAATTCGACTTCTGGTATACTTGGGGCATATTGCAATATTATACCTGTGCATTACAAATTTAATTTAGTGCATGCCAACACCTGAATTGTTGGCGTTGGCACCATTGTTACAAAATCTTAATCGGTTTATTTTTCGGTTTAAATCTCAGGTACGGATCAACCTTACTTTTCTCTGAAAGGTTGACGATTTACGTCAGCAGGTAGAAGTATGCAATAAAAAAAGTCCCGCTCTTCGTGTGTCACGACTTGTTCTCACAATTTAGAGATTTTCTCTCCAAACGTTTAAATATGGCTTATAAAAATTTCGGGCTTGGTTACTACACACCTGGTTGGCAGTTGATTAGTAGTAAAACTATCGCCATAGGAGTTAAACAAAACCCGAGACGTTGGTTTTTTGTCTTGTTGATTGTGAAAATACATAAAAAGAAATAAAACTGGTTTCAGTAAAGCACCATTGTCTAAGTATTGGAATTTCAGTCTTGTTCGTAAAATATGAAACTCGGATAAAATAACTTCAACTAAACGACAGCTAAGTTAAGATTATACACAAATAAATCCTACGGGTGACAGTTAATAAAAATAATAAAACAAAAATAAACAAATCTTCGAATATATACGAATACAGAAAAATGCCCTGCTCTGCTGTTACGCTTTCTATAGCAACAATTGCCTCAATAATAGCTATCGCCTTATTGGTTATTGCATTTTCTACAGATAACTGGTTACACTATGAGGTGAAAAGAAGCAACATACAGGTGTGTATCTATTAACAATGAATGGTAAACTTGTAATCCAACCGACATCTTTGAATCTAAGATTAAAGAGAAAATTTGATAGCGGTGTTTGAGATGAAAAAAACTTTCTACTGCAACTCTAGTGTAAATGTTTAAATTAATTTAATAATTATTAAATACTTATGTACATATATTTTCGTTTTATGTGTTGTGTTTGCACACACACAAATTTTTTTAAACCTAATAGGGATGTGTGCCGTATTTATGAGTACGTGTGAGCTACGCTGGAATGCGACTTGTACCCAAATCAACAACACCAACTACAAAGAGAAAAACAATTTTCAGGTAGTTTCACAAACTGCTACGATTCTCTTAACAATTCTCTTAAGACATAATACTACGTCTCATGAACATACATCTGCGATCAATACAAAAACTTCTTTAATATTTCCCCAAGTCAAGTGAATTTGATAGATCGTTTGCAATCATAAAAAGGATCAGGCACTTCCAGCATTCCCACCACTTTCTAATTTACACATTAGAATTTATGTTTAATCAAAAGTTCGAAATACAATTTTCATACCAAACAAAAAGGAATGGAGCTAAGCCTATTTGTAGTAATTCTACCAAAAATATGTTCCGCGTATACAAATTCATAACAAATGAAAATCCACACCCAGTGTGAAGTAAGCTAAGAAAGTGAAAGTTAGACAAATACTTCCACGGAACGGATATGTTCAAAGGTACCCCAAATCGACTCTCATCGAAAAAATATGAACTTAATTTCTTGTGTATTCGATTTATTTTTCAAATCATATGAAATATTTTGCAACTTAAAGTTTGCAACTTAAAGTTATACAATTTGTTCAAGGAGCTGTTCAAAACAGAATTAAGTTTTTTAAAGCCCCAATAAAAGGACGATGTTGCCCAACATATTCAAGGAGGTATTCAAACAAGATTAACTTTTGTAAAGCCTCAATCAAAGGACGGTTAACAGTAGGGCTATCGAACATAATCCGGAATTTGTACAAATTCTGACAAAGAATTTAGTTTTAAAAGGCATTTAAAACGTTTATTGGAAATAAATTGCCCAGTCTTAGGAGGAAATACATTTGTTAACACATGATCACAACAAATTTCTTCACAGTATTTTGAACAAAACTTGACGTTCACTTCATTCCCGCGATTTTCTCTAAAAAAATTGTAAAAAAGAAAGAAATTTGAAATAACAAAAATGTAGATTCAGATTTGTGTTTTTCAAATTTGATAAACCTGCTCGATTATACATATATTCAACTCTGTCGTGAATCCAATCTTGAATTCAGGTGCTATATTCAGAAGCAAGTTTTCCGCATCTGCAATATATTTTATACATATCACTCCACATTGCTTAAGTATTTCCAAGTATTAGCAAAACGACTTCTTTTGAAGAGAAATTATTTTTCAGTTCCATTAGATTTTCAGAGCTTGTTAAATTTTGGGATAAAAGCCACATTGATTGGATTAGAGCGTGCTATTAGGTCAATTGGCAAATTTACACATTGACTTTTAACTATTTAGTTTACATTCATCCAGACCATAATATTATGTTCTTCTATTATATTGCTACATATTAATTCCCAAGAACGAGAGGCTACATAGTAGAAATTTTTTCCTTCGTCCATTGTGTTGATCCTAGATTTGAGTTTAGAGATAGGATAGAGGAAATATATAAAAGTGAAAAATTTTGAAGAGGTGTTTTAGCATGGTGGTTTGCCAAGCCATTGCTCTGTTCCCCCACAAGAATGTAAATATGTTCCTACGGAAATTTTATGATTTAAAAAAATATGTCAAAATTTTCTTTATCCCCATATTGCTCTGTTCCAGAACCTGCAACAATGTAAAAAAGTTATTATATTACTAATAAACGATGTTCAATTTATGATATCGGAAAACTTGCAAAATTAGTCAGTCTTATCAATCCGATTTTGTGGTCAGTATTGGAATTCTCTAACTATTTTTGCTGTTGCATACAAAAAACGGTAAATTTCAAACCCAACATTTCCATATTAAAAAACAGTAAAAGTTGGCAACACTTGCTTTGTGTCAGAACTGCACAAATGTAAAACAAGTTAAAAAGCAGTAAGTTCGGCCGGGCCGAACTTTTAATACCCTCCACCATTTGCAACGAATTTGGAAATTTTCAAAAAATAAAATCCTTAAAAAAATTCTGTTAAAATTTTAAAAATACCGAATATAGCCGTTATTTTGGGGTCTATACGACGTGGACATACATAGGCATTGTTTGTCATAAGCCATTACCATATTCAAATTCGAAACTTGAAATAAACGGTGAATAATGTAGCTAAAATCATCAAAATACCGAATATAGGGAGGTACCGTTATATGGGGGCTATCCGAAGACCTGGACCCGCACAGACAATTTTCTGTCACAGACTGTAGTTCCCATAACGAACTTCAAATACCAATTTTAAAACAATTCCGGTGAATAATGTCGCTAAAATCATCAAAATACCGAATATAGGGAGGTACCGTTATATGGGGGCTATATGAAGACGTGGACCTGCACAGACAATTTTCTGTCTTAGGGTGTAGTATCCATTTTGAACTTCAAATACCAAATTTGAAACAATTCCCGTGAATAATGTCGCTAAAATCATCAAAATACCGAATATCGGGAGGTACCGTTATATGGGGGCTATACGAAGACGTGGACCTGCACGGATAATTTTCCGTCTTAGGGTGTAGTATCCATTTTGAACTTCAAATACCAAATTTGAAACAATTCCCGTGAATAATGTCGCTAAAATCATCAAAATACCGAATATAGGGAGGTACCGTTATATGGGGGCTATATGAAAACGTGGACCTACATGGCCCATTTACGAACTTAACCTGCCTACTGGAAAAATAAACATGTGTGCAAAATTTTAGCCACCTATCTCAATTCATTCGAAAGATAGCGTGATTACAACAGACAGACAGACGGACAGACAGACAGACAGACAGACGGACAGACAGACAGACAGACGGACATCGCTAAATCGACTTAGAATTTTACGCTGATCAAGAATATATATACTTTGTTGGGTCTGATATGAGTATTTCGAGGAGTTACAAACGGAATGACAAAGTTAATATACCCTCCATAGTATGGTGGAGGGTATAAAAATTGTACTATGCTAACCAACTTCCTTTTATGATATCGAATATTTTTTATAGTAGAATCTTGTAGGTTATGGTAGGTTTAGGTAGGATTTGGCGACTACTTTAATTTTGTATTTCGTACATTTTTTTCCGATTATTGTCGATAACGAAAAAAAGAGTTAGTTAATCCCACTACAGATGCTCTTAGACACAATGCATCCAGTTCCCAAGTGCCATCAGTGAAAGAGATGATTTAAAATCGCGCCGATCTAATTCATCGTTCATTTCATTTATTTTACTATGTTACATTACTATACATTACGGTGGCCTTCCCTTTTCCAGCATCGGTCAAAATATCATGTTGGTATCTGTAGAAGCACTCAAATAATTCAAATAATGCTTGCTATTGCACAGATATTAAGCATTGATGTCTGGGCAGTCAAATTTCAATCAATAACTTATGATAATTTTTTCCATTCCGAAGAATTCGTTGAAATGTTGCTTCAAAGCATTTTAGCAAATGCTACGTAAAAGAACTATTAATACAAATATTGTTAGAATCTGAGAATTATTTGGATCCTGTTCTGAAAGGTGTGTGTGTGTGTGAAAATGCTAGAAGAAGCCATGTATGTACAATTGAAAATCATCTTTGACATGGAGTCCAAAAAAAACAAAAACACATTTTTGTGCAGTTGTAGATAAAATTGTATGACATGGTTATTATCATGGCTCAATAAGAAAGCTTGCTCAACTTCAAAGAAACTACAAAAATGAAACTCTGTGCTGTAGTCTTTTAGTGTCAAATAATATCAAGGCTTATATAAAGTCGGCCAGTAACACCATATGACGACCAAGTTTTCTGTCAAAATATATTTTGAATTCGCCCTATGAATACAAAAACAAAATTGTGACGTTCTTTTAGAAAAATTCGAAGACAAAATATAAATAAACAGGAAAATTTGTAGATTTGAAAATGAGAATTTTCCAAAACGCAGTTCCAAATGATGAAGTGTCGAGGGCAGAATGGAGTAACGTTTGCCAGGTAGAATTTAAAGCAACGTCTTCTGTATGCTCTGAACACTTCGACGTTGCTCATTTGGTGAAATCTGGGAAGAGATTTAGACTGCTATCTATAGCTATACCATAAATGGAAAATCCACTGGAAGATATTGATAGGTATAACATTTGATAGGCCAAAACGTGTCTCATCGAAACAATGGTTCGAGACCCTAGGTCTCTTTGGACCAAATCCGTTTCAGGACATTTGGAATCGATCTAGTGGTGTCTGTGCCCCCGATTTAGCTTAGAAAACTTAGATCGAGATCGTAGATGAGCAGTATTGGTTCAATCCTACTGGTACCTACCTCAAAAAAGTCAACAATCCCAAAGAAAATAATTTATCAAATACAACAAAAAAAGATCATCCAAATTCGTTCAAAAAAAAAAACAAGAATGTGGGAAAAACCCACGAAACAAGAATGTAATTTCGGGGTTATTCCACAAGATGGAATCTAAAATAATAGGATAATACATTTTGATCATAAAATTATACAATTTGCTATCTATTTATGTAGAAATTTTGCATTTATTTTACAACCAAATTAAAAAAAATTCAAATTATTGTATTTTTTATTCAAAACAATACACACACATACACAAAATGTGTATATGCTTTGACAAAATAAGGGCACCAAAAGAAAAAAATTGTATTTTTGTTCTACCTTCTGTAATTGTGCCATGGTTATTATCAAATATTTCAAATGGTCACTTTCGTTAAAGTTATTATACAAAGTTCAATTATTATACATTACGCATTGTTTAATTTTAATCTAATACCCATGCATTTTTCCTAAGGCACCCTAATAAATATATGC